CCCTCACCTTTGCCCCTCTGCATTCATCCCCCCGCTTCTTCACGAGGCCAACCTGGCCGTGCACCCTGGGCTGCGCCCTGGGAGATGCTGGGCCTGCGGGCCTGGGTCACACCCAGCCTGTCTCCTCCTCAACGCCTCTTCTTTCTCTCCCTCCTGACTCTTTAGCCTGCCCCTCCCTCCGGCCGGACCCCACTCCGTGGGCTTCGGGGCAGCTCTGAACTCCCAGGTGTGGTCTCCGCGTCGGACAGCCGGAGGCCAGGCTGCCACCCACAGAAGCAGAGCCATAGGGTGAAGCAGCCACCGGCAGACATTGGACGCGGGCTGCCAGGCTGGTTGCCAGGTGTGTCCCCAGGTGATTGAGGGACGTCGCAGGGGGAAGTTAGGGTTCCAGGGAATGCCGCCGAAGACCCCGCCTGGCACCCCCAGACCCATGTCAGTGTGCACTTGCTGACCCTTTAGCCAAGGGCGCACATGGGCTTGGAGACCAGGGGTTGATGGTCATCACCCTGCCGCTCAGCCGTGGTTCTCTTGGTGGCGAGCTAGGAGAACCCCGACAGGCCAAATAAATACATGGAAATAATTCATTGGCTCCAACATCTGGAAACTTCCCATAATCTGGTCCTGAGCTTAAGTGCAACACAACCAATCAGAAACCAGCTTCCCTCCAAAGAAGGTCACCCTGAGTGGCAAGATGGCCTCCTAGTCCCAGGCCCACATCCTGTCTGCTTAGCAACACCAGAGGATTTTCATTGGCCCAGCCTGGGTCATGTGCCTACTTCTCCTGGACCAATGGCAGAGTCAGGAACGTGGTGCTCTGATTGGCCAAGATCCCCTGCACATCAAAGTGTGACAAAGTGGTGCTCAAAGGAAACTGTGAGTCCCTGACCAGCAGGGCGGTGCCAAGGCCTCCTCTTCCAAACCTCCCCATCCCTTCCTGCCACGTCTCCTAGCTGTGCCCATTTTCAGAAAATCCAAAATAGGGCCGTTTACCTGAAAGCTGGGCCCTCTTGTATCTTTGCCCATGTGGCAGGAGTCGCCGGCCCCCCAGCCTGGGAACACCTCCCACTCCTTGCAATGTCTTTGAATTAGCCTCTGCTCCTGGCAACCCTGAGCTTAGCACAGAATCCATAAATGTCAACTCACTGCTTTGTCACCTACTAAGTTTAAAGGTCAGTTCTAATTTTCAGGGGAGTTTTTAAATTGATCACAGCCTCTGCGGAAATATTGACTGGACTTGCTCTCCAGCGTACACGGCGTTAGGCCAGGGCTGGGACCACTCACTGGCTCGCCGGCCCCTCCTCCCCACCTCCCCCGCGCGCCCCTTGGAGTTCAGTGGTGAGCTTGATCCCGATGGCTGCCAGGGCTTAGGGGGCATAGGTTAGGGGCTGTGCAAACGGATTTCCAGGACTCAGGGCCCTGGGGCCCCACCCCGCAGCTCACTCCGGCATGGCCGCTGTGGGCCCTCTTCCTCGGGTATTCCAGCCTGTAGTCCCGCGAGGCCCCCGCACGGGCTCGGCCAGGCAACAGCAGGTGTCCAGCTCAGTCGGACAGCAAGGCCCCGCCGGCTGCACTCCCAGCCGCGGCCCGCGGTCCCATGATCGACCCTCTCGGACAGCAGTGCTCGTGGACGTTCCGTTCAGAGCCTTCAAGGGGCTGGTAAAAGTTATGCACCGGCTGCCCGGGAAAGTGTGTACAAGGGGTTGACGCTGTCAGCAGGCCGTTTCCTGGGCTCCCGAGGCTGCCTGGAGTCCCAGGTTAAGGGATCCTCTTTGGGGAGGACTTCCCTCGCCAGCTGACCTCTCCTTAAGCCGCGTGTCCTGGCCCTGGTCCTGACCCTTCTGCCCTCATCGGGGCCTGAACCGCGTATGAAGCTCAGCAAAGGCCCCAAATGTCTTTACGAATGATAATAATCGTTACTACGTATTGAGCCCTGACTCCGTGCTTGATACTATGGCAAGTGCAATATGGGTATTAATACAGCGACCCTGGAGGCTGGCAGTAGTTAGGATCAGCCCATTTTGCAAAGGAGGAAACTGGGGTACAAAAGTGGGTAAGGAACTTCCCTAAAGTCTCCTGGTGAAGGCGCTGCCCTCCTCCAGAGCAGCTGTTTGACCACCCCTGGTCCAAACCACATCTCCCTCCAGGCTGAGCCAGTGCTGGACACCGAACCCAAACTGCCACAGGTGAGCTGCCCCCCGATGAGGGGCTGTTGGCAACTTCCAAACACTCCAAGCCTTCAGCAGGCTGTTTCCGCGGCCTCAGACATATCATTCCTCTTGCCCCTACCAAACTCATTCATCCTTCCAGCTGAGATGCCGCTTCCTCCATGCAGCCTTCCTGGCCTCCCTCCACCTTCTCCCCCAACTCCATGGGAAGTCCTATCCCCCAGAATCTTCCCATCTCAGCCCTTAGCCCTCGGTCCTGACTGCCTTCCTGCCCGACTGCACACTCCGAGTGGGCAGGGATTATCGAAGTCTTGCTTTCCATTGTTTCAATTATTTGGGAGGGGGGAATGTAATTGTTTATTTAAGTATAACACATGGATAACAAATGTCTTCCTGTGAACACAGCCATGTCACCACCGATCGGATCAAGAACTAAAACATGTGCAGTAAGTCCCAGAAGTTTTCCCTGGTCCCCTGCTGGTCATTATCCGCACCCAGAGGTGGCTCCGACCGCTGTCACTGCAGTTTTGCCTTCAATTCAATGGAAGCGCACGGCAGATGCTTTTGTGTCTGGCTTCTTGCTCAGCATTATGTCTGTGAGGTCCATCCACACGGCTGCCCGTTGCTGTGGGTTTCCCTTTTTTTCTTGCGCACTACGCCGTCAAACGAGTATACCACATTTCTCCATTACACCGGGGGACGAGCACGTGCGCTAGGACATGAGACACCTAGAACTCTCATTCTTTGCTCATGGGAGTGTAGATTGCTGCAACCACTAAGGAAAACTCTCCCATCTATCATTGTTTTAACTGTCAGGTGTTGAGCATTTACTATGTGCCAGGCCCTGTACTAAGCGATTCATCTGCATTATCTCACTTAATCCCCCCGACCGTCCTAGGAGGTAGATGCTTTTAGAAATAGGAGAGTCGTGGTATTAGTGTCACAGGATTATTGTGACATTAACTGAGCTAGCACTTTGAAGGGTTCAGCCCAAAGCTGCCATTTGGGAATCATGTTTCATGATGCCTGCTATCATTATTACTAAATGGCACAGGGCTGGGAACTCAGGAACCTGGGTTCCACACCTACCTAAGCCAACCTGAGCAAGTCGCCTCGGCAGCCTTGACCTCAGAGCCTGTGAAAGGTCAATCGCTTGCTGAGGCCTTGTGAAAGTGGCGGGAGGTACACTCTTCAACGAGACCCAGGCTCTAACGTCACGACGGCCATGGGGACAAAATAAAGAAAAAAAAAAAATAAAAAGACCACGGGGGTCTTTCTGGGGGGACACAGGAAGAGCTCCTTCAAGAAGGTGAGTGCAGAAAGTACTTTCAAGCTACGATCGCTCTCTACCTGTCTCTCTCACTGGCCTGTGAGCACCTCCAAAGTTTGGCCCAGGTGTGGTTTTCAGGCGCTCATTCACAAACAGGATTTAAGTGCCTCCTTCCTCCAGGCACTGTGCCCAGACCTGGGGGACACCTCCACGAACAAGACAGACAAGGGAGGGACAGGGACACCAGACAAGGTAATAACCAAGGAGCAAGGGATGCAGGGCCGTGAAGTGGAAAGAACTCCTAAGCAGAGGGTGCCCTGGAGGGAAGGGCCACTGAGACCTTGACCTTCTCAGGAAGGAAGGGAGCCCAGCGGGGTCAGAACAGGCAACAGCAAGCTCCGCGGCCCTGAGCTGAGACAGGACCGAGGGCGGCTGGAGCTGTGAGGCCAGGGTGTTGAAGGGGAGGCCTGAGAGGGGCCGGGTGCCAGTTGCGGTGGCGCCCCGGAGGCCTCCTAAGGCTGATGAGAAATTCGCAATGCTTTGGGCTGCAGAGGGCCACGCGGAATCCCAGGTTGGCGAGGCCTTCTGATGCTGAGTTGGTGGGGTAGGGGCACGTGTGGAAGGTGCTGGACTATTAATCCAATGAATGAATGAACGCATGCATGGATGGGCGGACATGCGTCCAGGAACAGCAGCTGATCCACAGGAGGCCCCAGACCCAGAGGCCTGCTGGAGGTCCTGGCTCTAGGCCCAGCAACCTGGCGCTGTGACCTTGGGCACATCCCCGCCCAGACTCAGGGCCCGGAACCCTGCGTCTCGGGGGCGGGGAGGACGTGCTAGGAGAGACAGTCCGCATGCAGGTCTGGCAGACGGACGGCGAGTCCTCCAAACAGGCCCCGGGGCCGAATCATGGCCCGACCCGGCCCGACGGCGCCCAGGCCCGAAACCTCGCCGCCCACCGTGTTTACATTCCCCCAGCACGGGCCACGCGGCTTTTGGCCGCATCTGCCCGCCGCAGCCCCGCCCTCCACGGCGCGCGCCAGCAAGCCTCCCGCGTCCCGCCCCGCGCAGGCCCTGTCACTGGACCCCGCCCCTCGGGCGCGCAGGCCCTGTCACTGTGCCCCGCCCCGACGGCGCGCAGGCCCTGTCACTTAGCCCCGCCCGCCCGACTGGCCCCGCCCTCCTGCCCGCAGACGCCGCCACTTAGGTTGGCCCCGTCAGCTCCGGCCCCGCCCCGGCCCCGCCCCCGAAGTGGCCCCGCCCCGAGCGGTCAGGCGTCTCGGCCAGTCAGCACCGCCGAGGGCGGTCCTCAGCCCCGCGCCGGGCAGTCCTGGAGCCCGCGGGGCGGGGCTGAGGGTGGCGGGAGGGCGCGGGGGCGGGCCGGGGGCCGGTTCCGCGCGCTGAGATTTTTAAATGTCCCGCTCTTCGCCGGGCGCAGGAGCAGCCGGCTCGACCGCCAGCGCGGTGTAGGGGGCAGGCGCGGATCCCGCCACCGCCGCGCGCTCGCCTCCGCCGCCTCCCCGCTCCTGGCCTCCCGCTAGCCCCTCCGCCCGCCTGCCTCCGGCCTCGGCGCGTGCTGCCTGCCTGTCGCGACCCGGCTTCTGGTGAGGCCCCGCGCTGCTGCGAACGGCGCGGCGGGCGAGGACTCCCGGGTCCGGCCGGCCGGGGTGGAGTGGGTGGGGGTGGGGCGAGGCCGGGTCGCCGGGTCCCCGGGGGCGTCAGCGCGGGGTGCCCGGGCAGGGTGGCTCAGAGGGGGCCGAGGGAGGTGTCGAGGGGGAGACCGAGGCAGCCCGGGCCCCGAGGGCGTCGATGGGCCGGCAGAGCTTTCGGGGGGCGCCGGGGGCCCCCCCACCCCGGGTTCGGACCCGGTATCGTGGGCTGTTGGCGGCGCCGCGGGTGACAAGCCACCCCAAGCCCATCGGCCATTTTCCCGACCGGGCCGGGAGGCTCCCGCCGCTGCCGCGCGGGAGGGGGAGGGGTGCTCGGGGAGGGCCGACGGGCCCGGGTCCCCTCCGCGGGTCGTGCTCACCCCATGGCCCGCTCCGTGCCCCCCAGGCCTCAGGTTTGACCCCGCGCCCCACGCCATGCCGAGGGAGAGGAGGGAGAGGTGAGTGGCCCGGCCCCTGCGGGGAAGGGAGGGTGTGCGGCGGTGGGGGAGGGGTGGTCCGCCCGGGGGGGCAGCTCGCCCTCACCTCTGCCACCCTTGCTTTGCAGGGATGCCAAGGAGCCGGACGGCATGAAGGAGGAGAGTGGCGCCGATGTCTCTGCTCACTCCAGGAAGAGGAAGGCAAACGTGGCCGTTGTGAGTACAAAGAAGACAGGTGGGGGCGGAGGGGCCCCCCATCTTACCTGGGTACCAGACAGGGCTCTGCCCAGGTCGTTATTGATGGGGGGCTATGTGAAGGGGCCCCGCGTTTGTGGAAAGGCTGTTCATAATCTAACCAGCTTTCTTTCTCTTCTCTCTGTTTTTTGTCTTTGGGCTGCTTGGTGTTGGGGGTTGTCGTGTGTTAGTTTTTGCAGGATCCAGATGAAGAAATTGCCAAAATCGACAGGACCGTGAGAAGCCAGAGTGGCAGTCAGGTGGGTGCCCTCGCTGGCTGGGCCTGAGCGGGGCCTCCTCTCCGGCCCTTTGCCAAAGGCTCCTTCTCCGCGGCCGCAGTCCCGGGGCTGAGCACCGGGCCCGTCCGCGGGCGCAGACTTCTGCCAGCCTTGGGTTTCCAGGAAGGTCTCGTGTTGAAACGAGTGCCAGTGTCTGGAAGAACCGGAGGGGACGTGAAGTAACTCGGTCCTTTCCTTTTGCCCTTGAGGAACCTGAGCCTCAGGGAAGAGACTCAGCGGCCCGGCGGGTCCAGCCTCCGGCCTCCTCTCTGCGCTGGGGAACCGGGGGAGGGCCCGACACAGGGCTCCCTGGGTGACCAGGATAATGGGGGCTTGTGTGTGCACACAGACGGCTCCCCCGTGTTCACACCTGGGTTCCCACAGCATGGAGCTTCGGGCCCTCCCTGCCCCTCCTGCTGTCTGTAGGCACCAGGTATACCCCTCGAACCCCGCTTCTGGGAGTTCTCCCAGCCACCCGGCCGTTGCCTGCCGTGACCGCTGCCTGGGGCTCTGCCCGACCTCACCCTGAGTGTTAGCGGGCCGCGCTGGGTGACGATGTGTGTGTCTCAACGCATTTTTTTATTGGCTAGCCCGTGTCTCTTGCCCCTCCTTCATGGACTTCCCGCCAAATGTCTTGCGTGTTCTTGATAACAGTATAATATCAGAAGTTTGCGGCAGAAGAGCTTGTATTATCTCTCTACCCCCAGAAATGGCTGCAGACTGTAGTTATGGCTGCAGCAGGGAAGCTGCCTGTCTCCACACTAGCTCATCAGGCCTTGCGACCCTCTCGCAGGTAATCATGAGCGGGGATGGCCCTGCCTGGGGGCAGTGGCGGCGCGTCCCTCTGCGGGGCTGGGAGCCAAAGCCGGAGCAGCTGCCTTTGGGAGTGGGAAGGGCCTCAGAGCAGCGGGCCGCAATGTTCCTGCACAGGAGACCCCGGCAATGTGCCGTCCTGGGCCGGTACCAGTGAACAGCGAGCAGGCGTTGGTGACTTCCTTCTCTGTTAGAAGGAGAAATCATTTCACTGGAGAACAGGAAGTAAGACAGCGCATCCTAAGTTCTTTCCTTTTCCTCTTCTCCCCTTAAAACAAACCTTCAAATCAAGCAAGTTGATTTTTTGCGGTTATCTCTACTTTGTGAAATTTAAGTTTGGGTGTTTTCTCAGTTGCGCTTGAATTGAATTTCCCATGGAGGACGCGGCAGAGGGGGCACCCTTGGTGACTTGTGTTTAGAGGACTGTGTTCTGAAGGATCGCCAGAGCGGTACACAGGGCGCCCCAGGTGGGGCGGTGGCCCCGGCGCCCACGGCGGAGAGGCCAGAGTAGTGATACGGGAACAGCCATGTTACTTTCCCTGGAAGGCATTTTCGGGTTGCCCGGAGCTTAATGATAACATGTTTGGCGACGTTCGGTGGCGTCCATAGCTAGACGATCGTCCAGCTCTTTACGGGGCAGTCAGTGTCTTGCTATTTCTTCTCTGTGTCGATTTGTGAAGCTAGGATTTGGGGGTGACGAACTCTTTGGCCTGTTAATGACCCAGAATGACAAGCCGTCCTCACTGGGCCCGGCACAGCGGCCGCCACACTGACCTCCGCGCCGCTGCCGCAGCAGCACTGCAGGGAGCCTGCCGCTCCCGCCTGGGCCTCGGGGAGGACGGGCTGCGCCTCAAGTCCGTTCGATGTGTCCCTGTCGTACGGGACACAGCTGTCTGGTGGAAGTGGAACGCTGGACTTCCTTGCAGCTCTCAGAATGCAGCGCTGTGTGAGGTAGTTCTGTTCTTAACTAAAAGGGGCACAAGGAGATGCCGGGTGGTTAGGACGGTCGGACTGGCCCCTTGCTACTTGTCTGCCCTCCTCCGAGGCCAGGCTGGTCTTGCCCACTCTGAAATGGGGTGTGTGCTGAAGTGATAGGTCGCTGCTCTGCGCGCTCGTTCCTTAAAAGGCCCGCTTTGGGAGCCGCTGCCTGTCACCCAGGTTTTCTGAGCTGCAGGTCGGGAACTGTCGTCAGTTCACGTCCAAAGGCCTGCCCTCGGCTGTCCGGGCCGCCCGGTTTGGAGCTGGCTCCCGGCTCCCACCCGCAAACTGGAACTCCTGCCCGAAGGGCAGCTCAACCCCTTCTGCATCAAGGAAGCAGACCAGTCGGGGAGGGGAGGCTGCCCTCCGGCGGGGCCGGAGCGGGGCCGCGAGCAGCCGGGGTCGTTTGCCTGCCCGGTTCCCAGCACCTGGGAGGCGCTGTCTGGCTTTGCCCGGCCGGGGCCCTGGAGCGCGCGGCCTCGGGAAAACCGCCGGGAGCTGTGACTGGCGGACTCAGAGCCCCAGCCCCTCCCTCATTTATAGTCGCCTCGATTGTCCCTCGCCTTCGCTGGTCAACATCTATGATCTCGGCTTTTTTAAAAAAGGCCACAGGCTCAGGCTCCCATGGGCTTCCCTGCCGGCGGGTTGTCACCTGCCATATCGTCAACAGAGCCACCATCTTACCATTTTAAAAATCGGTCGTATACAGACAGCGGCATGGTGGTTACCAGAGGGGAAGCGGGACGGGGAGGAGGAAGGTTTAAAAAAAAAATCGACTGTAGGTTTCTTTTTACAGTAGGACAAGAAACAGTAACTTTAAAATTTCCTAAATGGCAAAATGACCTTAGTATTTTCCAGATGTTGCAACTTGAATAAGGTTAAATATCCGGAATCTTTAAAAGAAAAGCCTGCCGGTTTGGTTTTTAGCGCCAGTGTATTCGCCTGCCAGTTACCTGTGCCTTACTCTCCGGCGTGAGGCTCCGGGCGCGGTCAGAGGTCTCCGGGGACCAAGCCCCGTCTGGCCCCACAGGCTTTCCCGTGACACCTGTGGCCATGGCTTGATTTGGTCACTGGGCAGAGGCTCCGTTCTGTTCTGAGTGGAGGACAACAAAAGGTCCCCGTTATGTGACATTCTTGGCGGGTCCTGCAGCCCGAGGGAGGTGTGACGTTTGCTGGGACGTTGTGTTTTAAAATGCGGAAACAATTCTGGATAGCGACTTACGCTTTTCATCTTTTATACTTGTGGATGGGGCATGCTTATGTAAGTACTTTTATTGGAGATTCTGCCTTCCACTTTTCAGAAATTTTTAAATTTTATTTGTAAAAGATTTTATTTTTACAGAGGGGGGAAGGGAGGGAGGAAGAGAGAGGGAAACATCCATGTGCAAGAGAAACATCAATCGCCTGCCCCCACCTGGGGACCTGTCCCACAACCCAGGCGTGCGCCCCGACAGGGAATCGAACCGGTGACCTTTTGGTCCGCAGGCCAGCGCTGACTCCACTGAGCCCCGCCAGCGGGGGCTAAGACATGTTTGGAGCTGAGCTGTACATGTTAAAAAACAAATCGTGACCGGGCCATCCCACACTGCACTGCAGCCGTGGGGCCCAGCGTCTCGCTGAGCAGCACGTGGGCCTGCGCTCTGTTGCGGGGGATAACGGAAGAGCCGTTCGCAGCAGGCGGTGTCTCGCCCTTCCTGCACCTGCGGCGCCCCCCTGTCTCGCGTGAGACTGACGAGCGGAGGGCACAGTGCTCCTGCCCCCGGTGTTTCCTCGCCTGGCGACTCACGCGCACGGCCTCCGGAGCGAGGACCGCAGCGGGATGAAAGCTCGGGGTCCCTGCTGCGGCTCCTCCCCGCCCGCGCATCTCCACCCCAGCCGGGGCGAGAACAGCTCCTCCGGCCTGGAGGCTGCTCTCCGGGGTGACGGCGCGTTTCCAGTTACTGGCTCCTCTGCAAATCCACCAACGCTGAACACTGTGCTTTTGCTTTCCAGCCCTGGGACGGCCACGCAGCCTGTGAGAACCCGTGCTCCCTGATCCCCACGCCGGACAAGGACGAGGACGAGCCGGGGTACCCGGGCTCCGCACACAAGCCCCCCATCGCCAGGCCAGCCCGGGCCTCGCCCCTGCCTGCGCTGAAGTGAGCGCCGCCCTGCGCCTCGCGGCCCCTCCTGCTGGGGCCGCGGGCGCACACTGACCCCTGTGTGTGTTGTGTTGCTGCTGTTGTTTTCTGCAGCTGGGCAAATCGAGAGGAGGTTTGGAAAATCATGTTAAACAAGGAAACGACCTACTTGAGGGACAAGCACTTTCTGCAGCGGCACCCTCTTCTGCAGCCAAAAATGCGAGCGATTCTTCTGGACTGGCTGATGGAGGTGAGCTGGTCTCCCTGGCAGCCGGCGCTGGAACCCTTTCTAGAATCTTCCTGCCGCTCCAACCTCCGTGGGTTTGGTCCCGTCAGCACATTTGGAATCTTGGAGGCTGTGGTCACACACTACCACGGTCTCACTTTTTTCTCATTTGTTTGCACACTTCCTTGAAAGAATTTCTGAAGTCTCTGTACCTACTAGATGTTCTTAAGTTGGCATCGTTTTCTTCTCTGCAGTTTTGCAGCTCCTGTGCATTTGGAATCAGGGAAGGAACGGGGAGATTACGGGAGATGGGAAAACGCGAGGAGGGGGCGGGATTAGAGGGGAGTTAGGGTTACGGGCTCTCCTGAGGATTAATACCCCCGCCCACCTCTGAGGGGTGCTACTCCCGGCCTTCCTGAGGCGTGTCAGCCTAGGTGCACAGAAACAGACAGGGACTGGCTTAGGACCTTCCACGGCAGCAGGTGTGCGCCTGGGGCGCGGCCGCCACCGGGGCCTGCCGGTCCGGAGCGGACGCCTGGATCACCCGGGGAGGTGCCTTTCCCTAAGCCCCTTTCTGCCTACAGTTCCCCCTTTTGGTCCTAAATCAGTCTGAAGGGTATGTCGGTGACCACGCTTTGGGTCGGATAGTGTGGTCTCAGTGCGAGGAAGGCCCGTTCCTAGGAGGTCTCAGTATTGTCCTTGTCCTGTTGGCCACAGGGGACAGGGCGACTCAGTGACCACGGGATCGGAGTTGAGGCCAAGTTTTCCCAAAAGCAGAAGGAAGGACCGGGAAGTGGGAGGCGGTGAGGCCGAACGGCCTTCCTTGGGCCGCCGGGCCGTCCCGCCCCGTGAGCGGTCGCGGCCGGGCCTCGCCTTCCGCCCCATTTCTGCCTTCGGCATCTAGTGTGATGGGCGTCTCATTTTTGTCATCAAGGTTTCAATAGCTGCAAGGATTGTCTTTTTTAATTAACTGCCAACGTTGATAATTGACCTTTCTTGATTGAATTACTTTCAGAGGTATCCAGTGGAATGCAGGTAACAACTATTTGATAACCACTACTGTAGTTTTGTTTTTAAAGATTTTATTTATTTTCAGAGAGAGCGGAAGGGAGGGAGGGAGAAAGGGAGAGAAACATCAATGTGTAAGAGATACATTGATTGGTTGCCTCTCGCACTCCCCCAACCAGGGACCTGGCCTGCAGCCCAGGCCTGGGCCCTGCCTGGGAATCGAATTGGTGTCCCTGTGGTTCGCAGGCCAGCCCTCCATCCACTGAGTCGCACCAGCCAGGGTTGTGACATTTTCTAGTGCTATTTTTCTTCCATGGTTTGTGTGGATTAAAAACAGTATATATGAAATACAGCCTACATAGGAGGCAAGAAAGGAGAGCGGGTTCATCCTACTTCATTGGATTTTCTTCATTCATCCCTGAAAATGCCCACGGTCTCTGGGCTGAGCTCTGGCAGGCCCGCCGGGCCACGGCCCTTGGGCGGCCTCCCGGACTGGGCGTCACTCCTTGTAGCACAGGTGTCTGGGCTTCACTCATAAGATGTTGTGACCAAGAGGCTCTATTTTATCGGGGTCCGGCATAAATAGTGCCCCTTTTTAATTACAAAACCATAAGCATGCCGTTCTGTAACATAACAATATCACACTCAAGCACACCCTATGGCATTTTAGGTGAAATGTTCATGTTAAAACTATAAATCATCACACACATCCTATTTATTACCCTACCACCCACACTCAGGTGAGCGTTACTTCTGCCGGGCCCTGCATTTGCCAGGACCCGTGCCTTTGCAGGGGTGTGTTCTCTGAAGTGGTCAAAAGCGCAGCAGTGCTACTGTAAGGACGGAAAAGAACAGTCACCTCGACGTTGTCACCTTGACGTTGTCAGTGGGACAACACCAGAGCCCACGGGTCTGCTGTGACGTGAAGTTCCGCAGCCCCCAGCCTGGCCGCGAGGCCTCGGCGGCGAGGAAGGCGGTGCTGTTGCCGCGAGCCCAGCCGCGTGCTGCAGAGACGGGCCTTTGCCTGTCCCTTCGGGATGGGCTGCTGGGTCACTCCAGTCACCCTAGCGGTGTCGCTTCCTGAACGCGGACTCTAAACGAGGCTCCCCCTGGACTCAGGCAATCCTTAAGAACACGGTGTGGCGGGGGGGGCACCATCCCTCCCTCCCCGCCCCCACAGTCAGAAATCTGGGTGTAACCTCTGACTCCCCCGAAACTTACGAGCAGCCTACTGCTGAGAGGAAGCCTTACCGATAGCAGTTGGCTAGCACGTGTTTTGCGTGCGATGTGTATTATATACTGTCCTGTTACAGTGATGTAAGCCAGGGGGAAGGTGGTGGTAAGAAAATCGGAAGGAAGAGGAAGCACAAAGACAGCATTGCTGTGTTTACCGAAAACAAATCTGTGCCAGTGGGCCTGGGCAGTTCAGACCCCCGGTCAGAGGCCCGCCGCACGTGACGAGGCCAGCGCCGTCCTGGTTTGCAGTTCAGGTCGCCCGTGCAGGTCAGAGCGAGAGCCTCAGTGACAGCCTCGCGTCTCCAGCCCCCGTGCCAACGGCTGGGCCTTCAGTGACTGAGTTCGGATACATTGTAGTCTTTAAATAGACTGTATGTTCTGTCTTTTCCACTTTCTTACCGATATTGCCCACCCAGCTGGGAGGAAATGGGGCGGCGCTTCCCTCCAGTCATAATGAAACTTACAAAGGGGGGCACTCGGGGAAAATGCTCGTTTCCCGTGGCTGTGTGCCCGCCAGGCCGTGGCCCTGGCTCTGAAGTTGTCGCAGCACGCAGTCCGCGAACCCTCCGTCCGGGTCCATTTCCACTGGGCCCGCACTTGGGGACGCGCGAGGTGAGTGTCCTTACGCGATGCCAGCCTCTCCCTCACCGCATCGATGTCGACCTCCACCACGCACCAGGCGTGTCTTTTTCTTCCTTTTTGCCTCAAGCAACTTCTAAAACTCACTCAATGTTTTCTCAGGTGTGCGAAGTCTATAAACTGCACAGAGAGACGTTTTACTTGGCCCAGGACTTCTTCGATCGATACATGGCGACACAACAAGACATCGTGAAAACGCTTTTACAGCTCATTGGCATCTCCTCTTTATTTATTGCTGCCAAGCTGGAGGTGAGTGATCTCCAGCTGTTCCCGACGCAGCTCAGGCTGTCGTGCGGGCCCCGCTGAGCGTGGGCTGAGGTCGACTCCGTCTCTAATGCAGACCCTACGTTTTTCTCCTTGGAGGCCTTCTGAAGCGAAGAAATGCGAAAAAAAGAGAGAGAAATGCTAACAATTCACCGAGAGTGAAAAGCACTGAGTGTATAAAATGCTTAGGTTACTGCAGTTACTTGTGTCAAAAATATTACACCTTGGCCTAAGAGGATGAACATTTTGGTGTGATGAGAAGGGGCCCAACTTTCAAAGATGTTGCTAAAGGTCTTTTGAAAGATGAAAATTTCAAACTGTTTCCAAGACGTCGGAGTCTGAGCGAGCGGCTGACTGATGGGGGAGGGCGGGTGTGTCGGTCCCTCCATGTCCCGCCGGAGCCGCCGGCCCGGCTCTGGGGCTCACGCCGTCGACAGCAGCGCCCCCCCCCCTCCGAGCCGGCACCCCAGGGAGGACACTGGGTGTCCAGTACAGGTTCCAGCTGGGAGAGAGGGCTTTTTGCTAGTGGTTTCCTCCTTTCTTTCCTTGTAGGAAATCTACCCCCCCAAGTTGCACCAGTTTGCTTATGTCACGGACGGGGCGTGTTCGGGAGAGGACATTCTTACCATGGAACTAATCATCATGAAGGTGGGCCGCGGCGGCCTTCCCAGCTGCGTGACACCTCCCCCACCCGCGGAGCGCGCCGTGGCCCCTCTCCCAACCACGGGTCTCTTTTCTCTGTGTCCCTCAGGCTCTTAAGTGGCATTTAAGTCCCCTGACCATCGTGTCCTGGCTGAACGTGTACATGCAGGTGGCCTACCTGAACGACTTGTACGAAGTGCTCCTGCCTCAGTATCCCCAGCAGGTCTTCATCCAGATTGTGGAGGTCAGTGCCTGGGGCCGGGGCGCCCGCCCCGCGGCCCGAGGCCGGACGCAGCGGGTGTCGGCCGGCCTCTCAGCGCCCTGTCCTCCCTGTAGCTCCTGGATCTCTGCGTCCTGGACATTGGCTGCCTGGAGTTTTCCTACGGCGTCCTTGCCGCCTCTGCGCTGTACCACTTCTCCTCATCCGAGCTGGTGCAGAAGGTCTCAGGTAGGTCTGCCTCCCGGTGCGTCACGGGGGTGCTGGGGTGCCGGCTCGCAGGCCCGTGGCCGGCCTGGGTGGAGCCCGGAACGCGTGTCCGTTGCAGGCTACCAGTGGAGCGACGTGGAGAAGTGCGTCAAGTGGATGGTCCCCTTCGCCATGGCCATAAGGGAGATGGGGAGCTCGAAGCTGAAGCAGTTCCGGGGCGTCCCGGCCGAAGACGCCCACAACATTCAGACCCATCTGAACAGCTTGGACCTGCTGGTCAGTCCCCTGCCTTGTCCCCCTCACGGTGCTGCGGCCACTTTCGGTCAGGCTGCAACCCCTTTTGTCCCTTGGGGAAGGAAGGCTGTGCTCAGTCCAGGCTCCTCGAAGTGCGGCGCGGCGCAGCCCGCAAGTTGGTTTTACTCTGTCCCCCTCGCTCCCCCGACAGAAGAAAGCTCGCAGAGCGTTACACCCAGAGGACTGACCTCCATCGTAAGCTCCTTGCTCTCTTCTCACCCACAGGACAAAGCCCAGGCCAAGAAAGCCTTGCTGTCCGAGCAGAACAGGGTCTCCCCGCTCCCATCTGGCCTCCTCACCCCGCCCCCGAGCGGCAAGAAGCAGAGCGGCGACCAGGAAGCAGCGTGACACTCCAGCCTCTTCACCAAAGACAGTCGTGCCCAGCTGCTCGCTCCAGTCCTCGCGGGCCCGCGCTCCGGGGGCCCCGGCGGCCCCGGCGCCGACCTAGGGAGCGCTCTCTCCCGGAGCACGAGGGGCCTGCGAGGGCCGGGCCGGCGGGCGCGCTTTCACGGAGCGCTTAGACTTTCCCCGAGCGGGCCAAGTACGCCAGCCCCCTCCAGACACCAATGAGTGCTCCCGATGCTGCTAAGGAGGGTGCTGCTTGGCTTGATGGACAGTCACCCAGGCCGCCAGGCTGGGAGCCGAGGAGCACGGTGCCGCCAGCCCCTCCCGGGCGGCCTGGGTGCGCGGGGCTGCGAGGGACGGGTGCGAGCTCTGGGACGCGGGCCGGGCCAGCCACGCCGGGGCCCGCCCTCCACGTTATCGGTTGACGATGTCCAATGCCTTTTATGAACTATTGTTTCTAAGTGCTGCTACGTCTGTCTGTTTTTAATAAAGGTAACACTGTCTTTGAGACAGCTGGTTTTAGGAGCTACGTCTGGTCATTTACGTTAGGAGTCAGTCAGCTTTGAATGTGGCCCTGTCGAGCTCTCGATTTTGACTTCCTGCTTCCTGAGGCTCACCCTTTTCAGCAAAAAGTCCAAAAGGAAACTTGGGGAAGAGCTCTGGGTGTGGCCTTGTTTGTGTCCCCGGAGCCCCCGAGCGGCGGGGGCGGGGCCCCCACTGGACCTGTCACCCACGGGCGCACAGGGCCTCGCCGCCCTTGGGGAGTCCGGTCGGGAGAGCTTCGCACAGGAGCCGGAACTGCGCTGTGAAGGAGAAAGTGCCAGGCGCGCGCGCCCCACGGCCCCCGATGTTGGGACACGCCCCGACCCGGCCGCAGGTGGAGTCGGCCCCCGTCAGCCTCCTGGGGGACATCACCGCACTCAAAGGCCTGGTGGGCGCGGTTCATGTCCTGTGCGTTAGACTTCGCAAAAGGAAAGCGAATGAGCAAGTAAACGTGTTTTCAACTTGGTATTTTATCCCATTTTGTAAAAAAACAAGTATTAAGAAAAACAGCCATTTGAAATGTGTCATATTTATATGAAGTGGGAGAGCGGGCATACTTCGCATTGTGATGTTACGGTCCCAGCAAGTTCCAGCGCGGTTTCCTAATAAAGATGCATTCTGAGACTCCACGTGCTGTCACGTAGCTGCCAGTGACACGCCTGGCTAGCGGTGTCTCCCGTGCGGCAGGTGCTCTCGCCTCAGAAACAAGCACGTTTTTAATTAATGATGGTCACTTGCGAGTGACTTGCACAAAATCCTAAAAGTGGTTCATTTCCATTTGGCATTGTCTATGCAAAAAGATGGCACTAAAAACATTTCCCTTTTCAGAGTTTTATGCGTTTGAGAGCTTGACACGCGTGCAGCCCCACTGGCAGGAGCGTGTGTGAGGGCCACGCTAGCGTACCGGTCATTCGGCGAGCTGTCTCCTCGCAGGGCCTTCGCGGCCCGTGAGGGGACGCACCGGCCTTTCGCATGGAATTGTTCGGACGCTGCATTTCTGGAAATTGGGGTTTTTTTTAAATACCCATGTTGCCACCGGTACCTCAAGGCGGTTCCCCTCTCCAAGGAGCTTCTGCCAAACCCGAACCCCTTTGGGTTGGCCCTACCTGCTCATTCGCCAAGTCATTTTTGTTCCGTGATTCAGCTAGACCTGGCTGAGGCCGCGTGGCACTGAACAGGCGCCAGGTAACAAGGGCAGTTCTGGTCCACCTGGGTGGACAAATGTCCGCAGATGCATTCCTGGAAGGAGGGACCCAGAGGCGGCCGCGATGGGGCCCCTCACGTACCTCCTTGTGTCAGAGACAAGGAGACAGAACAACTCGCCGGCGACCACGATGACCAACTGTCTTCATCTCACACCTCAGCTCACGGAAGTCACTCCTGGGCCCCTCCCTGAGCGGCTCTCAGATCTGTCCCCTTTGTCCAAGAAAGAGATCTCTGGCCTCCGGGTGGTGGGCTGGACAAGTTACTCATGTCACCCTCCCTGTGTGTGGCTCTCACCCCTCCAGGGGGAACAGACGGGGCTGGGGTGCACGTGGATTTGCAGTTCCGGGGGCAACGAGTAAGTGAAGCGGGGGGCCCTTCATCACACTCCGGGGCTTCGGGCAGGCACCGCCGCTGTCGGACTCCGACACAAATGAGATTGGAGCTTATTTGGGCCAGATTAGGCTCCCGCTCAGAGCAGGGGTGGAAGAGACATCAAATCGGATCATGTCGAGTCAGATTTACCCAGCTGCGCCTTTTCCTTCCGCGCTTTGAAATTCAAATCACATTTCTACCTTGGACATTGTTAGAAGACTATTTTTATCCCTGCTGTAATCATCTAATTTGCTGATTACAGGTCTCAAATTGCCACAGAGAACTCAATTTTTGAAAGAATTGTCCTGTTTGATCAAATGCGTTATTCAAGCAAGGCAGGCATTTGCTCCACAAGGTTACCTGCCAGGCGGAGCCAACCAGGAGCGGTGGCATTAGACGCCTGTGCTTAAAACCACGCATTAGCTAATCTACCGGTGACAATAGAGTCTTAAATGTAATTTGCTGCGGATCCTTCAGTTCCTGCGCAGACAGACAATTGCATTTTGGATTCAACGAGCGTAGATTTCCCTCACCTCATCCCAACTCCGAATTTAACTCCAGGAGACTCTCAGGCACAGGCGCCTGGGTTCCGTTTCCCCCAGCCTCAGACAGGGGGCGATGGCACCCTTATTGAAAAAACACTCTCGCCGCCTGGCTTTTAAATCATTTTCCCGATCAACGCCAACCGCACACCCACACTCGGGGAGCACCTGGCTGCCGGGAGGTTCCCGTCTGAGGCTGGCTTCCACGCAGGACACGTGAGCAGCCGCTGCCTGAGCTGCGTGCTCCCTGCACAGCAGGCGGGGTGCGCGGGGCAGCTCAGGGGAGCCGCCCAGGCTGCGGTGCAGAAGCGCGAGCGGAGGGCGGGAACGGACTCACGCACCTTTGCTCCACGGGGTCAGCCCTTCCCCAGATCCCGCCGGCCTCTGCTCCCAGCCGGGGCGGGCAGACCCCGCACTCGGCCCCACCGACCACTCTCCCCATTAAATAGCTATTATTTAACCTGGTGGGGTTTTCTCCAATTATGAAAGGGAAGCACGTTTGTTGTAAGAAGTTAGAAAACTACGAACACAACATAGAAACTGAAAATCCCCGGAGATGCCATTCCTAACAGTTTGGGTGATAAAATAGTGTAGCGTGCTCCAGCGCTTTCTTCTTGACACACACTAACATATGGACAAATGAGCCTCTGTTTCTACAGAGCTTTTCCATCCAACAGTCCCCTCTCTTGGTGGTTTGAGGCGCATGTGCACACACGAGCTCCCTCCTTTTTGTTGCCATTTTCCCGTGAGTGCGGCCGCTGGGCGTCATTGCTCAGCACGGACCTGGCACAGAGCGGGTGCTCGTTAAAGATCTGCTCTGTGAACGAACGGGCATCCGGATTGATTCCTATGCAAACAGGCACTGTCTTTAAATTTCACACTTTTCCAGAAGAACATAGGCCGGCTTCTGCTTGCACAAGATCAGCGTTAAGGCTGAAAAGCAAGGCACGAACAGGAACGGATCGGACCCCCGTCTCTGTTTCAGCGCTTTTCAGGGAAAGGACGCCACACACCATCCAATCCGATTCCTGGACAGACGGCAGGGGCGGGCTGCCACCCGTGAGCCCGGCCCCGATGCGTCCCCTGACAGAAGGCCGGACAGGCAACCCATTCCCCAGGAAGGGCGAACCAGCCAGGCAGGCGCCTCCTCTCTGGAGAGAAAAACAGATCAGAAATCCAGAGTTAACATCTTCCAGCACTCCCAGCCTGGGTCCTCCGGAGAGTCCTCTGTGAATCTCTGCGTGAGCCCATGACATGGTCTGAAGGGCTTCCCAGGGAGCTGTGTCCTCCGTCCCTGTCTATCTGCCCGCGAGGCTGTGCGGTGGAGGGGACAGAGCCCCTCCAACAGCCAGGGCTGTGGGTGAGGGGACTGCGGGGGGCGGCTGCCCCGGGGTTTCGTTGTGCTTGAGCTGCAAAGGGGCTTTAAAGCACTTGATCCTGCCTTGGACATGGCTCCCCCTCTGCGCAGCCAGAGGGCAGGCTCCCCCTCCCGCCCCCACCGCGCCCCTACTCTGTCTTGGGTGCTGGGGGTGGGGGTGGGGGGTGGCCTGCACTAATCTGGGCCCAGGTGCCACCCAGCTTCCTGAGAAAACACAGTTCTCATACCCAAAAATGTGGGCAGCTGAGAGCAAGAAAACAAATGTTTCGAGAGCAGCGGCAGAGACAGTGTGTCCTCCCAGGTTACGCTGAAGGTCTGAACACGTTTACCCATCTGGGCAGAGCTCTGTGCCTCAAGCTCTGTCCCATGCCGACCTGGCTCCCACGGGCGTTTGATTCGGATTCCCAGATGCGTGGGGGAGTCCACGGGGCTCTCAGCTCGTCCCTCACCTGCCCGGGCGCCTCGGCCGTGGGTGGGGGCCGCCGCAGGGGAGCCCGTGTGCCACGGGCCGGCCCAGCCTCGCGGGCGGTGAGTGCTGCTTTCTGTTTCTGTTCACACTGTCCTCCAGGTGGTGGTGACAGTCGCGCTGGGGCGTTTTCAGGTCTGCGGTCACACGCTAGGGAACTCCCCTGCTCCCTATCCTGCAGAGGTTTCGTTTCTCTAGAGGTCAGGGGGCTGGGCCAGAGCGAGACTGGCCCGCAGCAGGTGGCCGGAAACCTGCTGAGCTCAGGTTCCCATCTGAGAGCCGCCTCACCTCCCCCTCATCCTCCCCCCCCCCCCGCCGCCCTCCAGGTGACCCCTGCGTGACCTTTGACCCTCGCTCCATCCAGAGCACTTCCAGGCGAGAGGTGGGGCGGATGTGAGTCCAGGATTCCAGGGCTGCTGCCCGGAAAAGGCCTCCCACCCGAAGGCTGGTGCGTGGCCCTGCGGGTGGCCCAGGACGCAGTCCCGGGTGGGAGAGGCAGA